TCGCTAAAGATTCTGTTAAAGAGCAAGGGACAAGGTCTTGCGAATTGGAAGTGTTACGTTATAGATCTTTCGGGATTTGTATTTTTCTAAAATATTTCAAAAAGAAATTTAGGATTAATATTGCTCATAGCATAGCTTGTATTTTTGGTTTACACAGCTGATTGGACCTTAAGGCTCTTAAATCATTCACAACTTTCGATTCATTCCAATCACGATGTGCTAAATTCCTTTCCTTCCTTATTTCATGGAGCAGTTCCCACAAATATCCGGCCAGTTTTGATAAATTCAATTTCACACCATTTTTTAAGGGCCTCGGTTATTTTCTGTAGTGTATGGTGGTTTTAAATGATTGTTTGCGTGTTGCGTGTTTCCAAATCCGTTTTGATCCAGAATTCATTCGCCTTTCAGTATTTTAAGCTTGGCCCAAATGAATGATAAGGTCATGATATCATTGTTTATATATTTTGATTTTAGATATATGAAATTCATATATTTGCACTGCGGCGAAGAAATGAATTTAAGAACTCCTCGCAGCTAAGAACACTGCTGAACTGATACTTGAAAATAGGACCCGACAAAAATTCAGGCCCGTACGGTATTTGAACCCATGACTACTGCAAGGATCTGCGAGGAACTCTTAAACTCGTTTCTTCACCGCATTGCAAATATATGACTTTCATATATCTAAAATAATTATTCATTACTTGGATGGTTTATCTGGACCCGACATATTAACCAGCTCCCAGTTGGCTTGTTAGCTCAGTTGGTAAAGCGCGGCAACGGTATCGCAGAGGTCATCGGTTCAAATCCTGTAGGATCTCTTAAATTCGTTTCTTCACTGCAGTGCAAATATATGATTTCATATATCTAAAATTCTTAAAGTTATGTTTGTTATCAAAGCCTGTTTTCTTCTATAAAATCCTCTTAGCTGTTATGCATATTTTCGCAGAGTGTAAGTCTATATGTCTGCCATGGCCGTGTAGATAATCTCGAATACGAGTAATAACCAAAGAAAACTACGCGGTAGGAACGGAGAATGTGTAGTACCGTACATTAAAATGAACTAACATTAGGTGTTGACAATAGACAAAAGTATCAGCATCTAAGAGTGTTTGTTATCTTGAGATAACTGAACAAAGAGATTGGATTATTTTGCAATAGAGATACTGTTCAGACAGTATCCTTTCGTCAGACGAGCAGCTTATGCTCGGAAGATTAGTCTTTCAAGACTCGATGTGCTAGTCTATCGATCCTTTTAAACATGTGGTTTAATTTATCAGTCCTTTTCGACTAATGGTTAATATCCCTATTTGATGATACACTGAATTGTCATAAGAAGTGGCCCAATACTGATTGCTAAAAAACTCTGGAGAACGAGACTGATTGTTTTGTAAATTGAAAATTACAACAACGTCGTTGGGATTTCTTTTAAAAAAAAATTATTAATTTTTTTACTCCATTGTTTGCTGCAAGCTTTAAAAAGTGGTAATCACTTCTTTATTTTTTTTCCTTCCTTTTAATTTTTACTATAACTTTGATAAGTTAAATATGTTATTAGATACGGGGCTCCGTTCGCATGACTTGTGCACCAGAATCTGACTTGATCGATAAGTTATCCGCTTTACGCTTCAGTTCCATTGGCTTGTCTACTGATGCACACTAAAAAGAGTGCACCTGTCACCATTGACTCATTTTGCTGTTCTCATTTTGCTCTTCTTCTGGACACAGCTGAGTATTGCAGCTGGAAAAGATGGAATCGAAAGTTTTGTGGCTGATAAATCGTGAGGAGAATTTCATTGTACTGATCTAATGTCATCCCACTCAGCTTTCCAAGAACTGATGTAACACAAGTAATTTGGAAAATGAACAAAGATCTTGTTACAGCTGAACATAATACACGTATAAACTCAAATTAAAATGATCCTTTTTCGTTTTTATTTATTAGCTTCTTGTTATCGTGTTTCGAGATGGAAGACATAAAAATTATGAGTCTTAAG